ACAAGGGTTTGAAGTCAGGGTCTCATGCTGTTGTTTGGCTTTTATAGCTCAAGTCTGACAACTCTATCACTTGAGCCACACCTCCACTTTATTGTTGTTGCCAGTCATAGGGATAGATCTCAGGGACTGGGTGCTGTTCCTGAGCTTCTTTTGCTTGAGGATAGTCTTGTACCACTTGAGCCACAGCTCAACTTCTGGCTTTTTTGATAATTTCTGGAGATAAGAGTCTCACAGACTTTCCTGCGTGGGTGATCCTCAGTAGTAATTTGAACTGTGATCCTCAATCCTCTGTGTGTGTGTGTGTGTGTGTGTGTGTGTGTGTGTGTGTGTGTTCACATAAGCGTGCTATTCTGGGGGCTTGAACTCAGGGCCTCTAAGTTCTTTTTGCTCAGGGTTAGTACTCTACTACTTGAACCACAGCTTCACTTCCAGCTTTTTTTGGAGATAGTCTCACAGATTTTCCTGCCTGGGCTTCAAACTGTGAACCTCAGATCTCCTGAGTTGCTAGGCTTACAGACATGAGCCATTGGCACCTGAGTTGCTAGGCTTACAGACCTGAGCTATTGGCACCTGACATGGCCACCAACTTCTTTTTTTTGGGGGGGAGGGTCTGGTTGTGGGGCCTGAACTCTGGGCCTGGGCACTGTCCCTCAGCTCTTCAGCTCAAGGCTAGTCCTCTACCACTTGAGCCACAGAGCCACTTCTGGCTTTTTTCTTTTTGTTTATGTGGTGCTGAGGAATCGAACCCAGGGCCTCAGGCATGCAAGGCAAGCACTCTACCACTGAGCTACCTTCCCAGCCCATGGCCAGCAACTTCTAAGAGCAGGGAACAGCTTGACATATGCGGTGTAATATGTGTGTGTGTGGATGGGGATGTGGTGTGGGTGGGTGGGGTGGGTGAGGGGTGGGGAATGAGAGGAGAGATAGAGCCAGGGTTATCTTGAAAAGGAGTAGGAAAAAAATGTGTGGGAGAAAAAAGAAAAGGAGTAGGAGGAGAGCAGCCTAAGGAGTCTGGTCTTAACCATGTTCTGTTTTCTATATGGAAATTTACATAGCCTTAGCAATTCGTGTCCACCTGGATACTCAGAATATGATCATATTTGGAAGCAGGGCTACAGTAGATGTAATTAATTAATATTAGATGTAATTGATTAGTATCAGTTAATAGGGAACTAATGTGGATCCTAAAGCCAATGCTGACAGCTGACTGCTGTAACATGTCCACAAGCAGAGTAGCCTAAGCAGTCATTCTCTGTCAGTTCTAAAGGCTGTTAACAAGCTGTCAGTCAACCTTTGCTTCTTCGGTGGCTCCTGCCATGTCTTGGCTTGTGGATGCATTGCTTCACGGATGCCATCTTGTCCCCATCACTCCATGCCCCGCTTCTCCCCCAAGTGCCTGGGCCTAATTCTTTTCTTCTCTCAATGGTGTGGGTCACATACAGATTTAACAATTAAGTTTTTTTTAAATAAGTTGTCCAGTTGACGGCTACTCTTTTACCCAGTGGCAGTGGGTGGTTACAGATATTAAGAAAGATATCCTGGCAGTTACGTACAGAATGTTCTGCAGAAAAGCCAGCCACTGACATCATGAAAGCATGAAATTACAGGAGCATGAGAGAACTTGTCCTGCTGTGGTGGTGTTGCAAAGGAATGAATGTTATTGGGTCATAATCAGAGACAGCATGGCATTGACTCTTCAAGTAGTACTGTCTGAAATTATCTCTGCCTAGTATTTTTTACATCTTAAGAACTGGAAAGTATTATCTTTTGCTATTTGTCTGCTCCATTATATAAGACAGATCAGGTGTTAATTTTCACTGTTCTTGAGTGGAGATGGGTGTAGGCTGCTTTCTGTCAGGCACAACCCAGACTCAGAAAGTGAAGAGCTGAATGCCTTCTGTGCTTTTTAATTAAGAACCAGGGGCGAAGAGGAGAATCTAGAGATGAGCATTACAAATAAGAGTTCCTGTACAACAGGCTGTCACTTGTACAGAGGAAGACGGAAGGGAAGGGAAGAGCAAGTATAATGACAGGGACGGATTATGTACTTGTTGCCTTAGATTTCCTTCATATTCTGACATTAGCTATGTATGTCATGCCATGACATAATTTTGGCCTTGACGTGTGTGTGTGTGTGTGTGTGTGTGTGTGTGTGTAAGCAGCTATTCCTGATTAGAAAAAAAGTAAAAAGTAACTAGTAAAAGTGAGTATACTCTATGCATGAGAATTAGATATGTAGGGATGATAGATGTCTCAGTCAGCTTGGGCTGCTATGCAAAAACTTCCATAAAATAGACGGCTTATGCACAACAGAAAATTATTGCTTACAATCTGGAGGCTTGGAAAGTCCAAGATCAAGATACCAGCTGATCTGGTGTCAGTAAGCCTTCTTTTCTGGTTAATAAATGGTGCCTTGTGGCTAGGTAGATCTCTGGAGTGTCTATGTCTCTGTATCTGTCCATCTCTTTCAATGGCTCTGGGTTTCAGACTCAGGCCTTGCATTTGTTAGGAACGTACTCTACCATTAAGACATACTTGCAACCCTTCTCTGTATTTTTTTTTTTTTGGGTCCGGTCATGGGGCCTGAACTCTGGGCCTGGGCGCTGTCCCTCAGCTCTTCAGCTCAAGGCTAGCGCGCTACCACTTGAGCCACAGCACCATTTCCAGCTTTTTTCTGTTTGCTTGTGTGGTGCTGAGGAATTGAACCCAGGGCCTCATGCATGCAAGGCAAGCACTCTACCATTGAGCCACCTTCCCAGCCCCTCTGTATTTTTTTTTTAACTTTGTTTTTGGTACCTGTATTGGGGCTTGAACAAAGGGCCTGGGCACTGTTCCTGTTTATTTTCTTCTCAAGACTAGAGCTCTACCACTTGAGCCACAGCTCCCATTTCTGGCTTTTTGGTGGCTAACTGGAGATAAGAGTGTCACAAACTTTCCCATCTTGGCTGGCTTCAAACCATGATCCTCAGATCTCAACCTCCTGAGTAGCAAGGATTACAGGGGTGAGCCACTGGTGCATGATGATTTGCACCGGTTATTTTTTTTTTTCTGCTTCTGTGGTGCTAAGGAATCAAACCCAGGGCTTCATGCATGCTAGGCAAGCGCTCTACCACTGAGCCCCCTTCCCAACCCATGCATTGGTTCTTTTTTAAGACAATGTCTCACTTCCTACCTGGACACATGACTAGATAATCTCCTGCTTATTTTAGGTTTCCCATACTAGCTGTGCTACCATGTGCAGCCTGGAGTCTCTTGGACTTTTTTTGTTCAAGCTAGCCTAAACCACAGTCTGCGAGATTTCAGCTTTCCACACAGTAAGATGACTGGTGCACACCTCTGTGTTTAGCTTTTGGTTGAGAAGGGGTCAGTCTCCTAAGTAGCTGGGAATATAGGCATCAACCACTGATATTCAGTGTCTGGGATTAATTTAATTTAATATATATTTTTATGTATTTACTTATATATATTTTAGTAGTCGTGGGGCTTGAATTCTGGGCCTAGGCACTGTCTCTCAGCTCTTCAGCTCAAGGCTAGTGCTCTACCACTTGAGCCACAGCACCACTTCCGGTTTTCTGAGTGGTTTATTGGAGATCAGAGTCTTTTGGAAGTTCCTGCCTGGCTGTTTTTTTATAAAGACACTAATCTCTTTCATGAGGGCTCTATCCTCAGGACCTAATCTCCAAAATACCATCTGCCTTTGGAGTGGGTAGAAGTCAAGATAGGAATTTTGGGAGGACACAAACAGACTATAGCAATATGAGAAGAAGTCTGCTTTACTTTTTTGTGCTTGTGAACTGTGTCAATGTATTTATTTAACAAAAAACATTTAGTGTTATCCTTTAACAGTGCTTATTGAATTTATAGAATTGGTTTTAAATATGCGGCTTCTTTTTTTAAAATAATTTTATTGGGATTAAGTGATTACATAAATTCCCCAAATTTCACAGTCTTAGGTAGCTTCTTTTTAAAAAGGATATTAATGTCCATGCCATCCAGATTTTAGCGCAACTCACAGGGATAATTTATATTCAGACTCTCCTATTTTTAGGTTAGCAGTATTCATCCATGCCAAAGAAAATAAATTCCCCATCAGCATCATCACTAGCCTAACAGACCAAACTTAGCAACAAAATCACCTATATTTCATCATTTAGATTGATACAAATAGAAAAAAAAAACCTCAAATTCTTTAGTTTTTAAATTTTTTCTCCCAAATGTGGATTGATTGAATTCAGAGCTCCTCACCTGCTAGTCAAACTTTTTATCACTTGAGCCACCCCCCCAATTCTTCACTTTTTGATTAGATTATATAGTTAAAGATTTTATTTTCAAAAGAGCTTTGCTTTATTAAAAAAATCGCCTTCAAGTTATTTCTCCCCAGCCACTCCCACAGGGTTTTTTGCCATCATTTCCCTCCAGCCTCTGACCCTGCTACCTCTCTGGCTCCCTTCTCTTTGTGTTCCAGGCCTGCTCCCCAGGGCTTCTGTAGCCTAGGGGAACCTCCAAAGTCAGCAGCTAGGCCCTAGGGCAGCTAGCTGTGCCCTAGTTCACTCAGGCCAATGTGTTCATGGCCTTGAGTGACCTGCAGCTGCCTCCACACTCTCCTGCCTGCCTCTTTGCGTACCTCTTCTCCACAGTCCCACAGCACCTTAGCTCAGCCCCACCTTCTTCATCCACTTCAGGAGTCACTGCATTAAGTCCTGGTCCTGTGAATTCTGGCTTATGGAGTGTCAATTTCTCTCTAATTATCTGGTTATATGAGGCCTAATTTATATGGCCCTGGAACTTGAATGAACGGGATTTGTTAGATCCTGTGGATTTGGCAGATTTATTTTTATTTTTAAAAAATAATTAAGTAGCTAGTTAGCAAGCTACCAGTTAGTTATTATGTGGGTTAGAAGTTAGCACCAAGAACATACTATGCAAACCCTCTACCCCTGAGAAACACCTTCAACCCCTGTGTATGTATTCCACCAAATCATTTTGTAATCATGCTTTATACTGCTCCCTCCCCTCCATATTCCAAAGGAATGCTAACCAGTCAAATAGTCCGTATACATCAGGAAAATAGGACTCCTTTGCTGTCAAATATATATACCCAGAACCTATTCCCAGGCCTCAGTAAAAGCAGAAATCTTATGGTGTTGCTACCTCTGTGGGTATATAATCAAATATCTCACGGGGAAAAGTCATTACAAGTTAATCTCCTGTGAAACATCTTTCATTCAATGATTGCGACCTGTATGTGCAGCTGTTAAACTGGATGGACATGATAATGCAAAATTTGCTTTTGACACAACATTCACATGATCTTTTCAAAACAAATGAGCATTATAGATGCTGGCTTTAGATATTGCAGTGCTTGTCTGGTAGTTTTAAGCTGAGTCCAAGTATATAATTTGTTGTCATGATTCATCTTGATAATGTAATACAACTACAATAATGTGCTCAGGATTATAGTTTAGAATCCAAGTAGAATTAACAAGCTGTTTTTCCATTTGCAAAAGTGTAATATCTAAAAGAAAAGAAAAAAGAACAGTCATAAAACAAAGTGTGTAAATCCTTCAAGTTTTATGTTTGGGTAGAAGAACAATAAATAGTGAGGAATTGGAATGGTAAACTTAACAGCTGTTGGGGTCATTATTTTCCCTTGGCCTCTGTGTCTTCATTTATCAAATAAAAAGCTAGATGAGATCAGCTTTTAAAAAACAATTAGCAGAGGATTAAAACATTATAGGCTACACATGCATATGATTTAGTGTTTTATAAATTTAATCTATAAGGTCAAGTGTTATCATTTTCTTATAATACAAATATGAGAATAATTAGACTATTTTGAATAATTCAAAAATTTGAAATTTAAGATTAAATATGACAGTTACAGACTCAAGACTTATGTCTGTTTTGTGTGTTGGTACTGGGGCTTGAACCCAGAGCCTGGAGCTCTCACCTGGCTTTTATGCTCAAGTCTGGTTCTACTATTAGAACCACACCTTTACTTTGAGCTTTTTTGCTGGCAAATTGGAGATAAGAGTCTCACAGATGTTTCTGCCTGGACTGGCTATGAACTATGATCCTTAGATCTTAGCCTCTCAAGTCACTGGATTATAGGCATCAGCCTCTAGTTCTTGGCTCTTAATTTTGTTTTGATTGCATACTATGAAGAAAATTCTGACCTAAAATAATCATTATAAGTAGTAAAATAGCAAGAAGTTTCCTTTCCTTTTTCGTCTCTTTCTCTCTTTTTTTTCTCTCTCTGTCAGTCTCTCATAGTGTTGAGAATTGAATTTAAGACAATATATGCCATTGAGTTATATCCCCAATTTAAGGATGATCTGATTTTAAAGACTACACAAAAAAACTTGACCTAGGGCTGGTGGTAGAGTGCTTGCCTTGCATACATAAGCGGAAAAAGCCAGAAGTGGCACTGTGTGGCTCAAGTGGTAGAGCGCTAGCCTTTAGCTGAATTGCTGAGGGACAGAGTCCGGGCTCAGAGCTCAAATCCAACGATCAACCAAAGAAAAACAACCCAAAAAACCCAAAACCTTGACCTAGTTCATTCATTGGTAGGTTCTAATTTATAAGAATTTAGTGTTTGGCATACCTGTGTATGTGTTCGTTGCTGCTATGTGTTGTTGTATGCTATATGTGTTGTTGCCTGAAACTCTGGGCCTGGTGTTGTCTTTAAGCTCCTTTTGCTCAAGGCTAGCATGCTACTACTTGAGCTACCGAACCACTTCCAGCTTTTTCTGTGATTAATTGGAGATAAGAGTCTCAGGGGCTTTCCTGCCTTTGAACCATAATCCTCAGATTTCAGCCTCCTGAGTAGCTAGATTATAGATGTGAGCCACCAGAATCCAGCTGTCCCTGAGCTTTTGTGCTCAAGGTTAGTTCTTTACCACTTGAACCAAGCTCCACTTCCAGTTTTGTCTTGTCTTTTCTCTTTTCTCCTCCCTCCCTCCCTCCCTTCCTTCATTCCTACCTTCCTTCCTTCCTTTCTTTGTGGTCACCATCCTCCCCCTCCTCTTCCTTCTTTTTGTGGTTAGTTGGAGATTAGAGACTCAAGGACTTTCTTTCCCCGGATTGGCTTTGAACTTTCTTTTGTTTTTTTTTAATTTTTCAATTTTATTTCTCAATTATTTCTTACCGAACTCATAATCCTTCCCTCTTTCTGCTCCACGACAAGCCCTTTTCCATCTCAGTTAACTTTTATTTTATGTTTCTTGTTACTGTAATTGAAAATAATAATATGTCTTTCATAATCTGTTTCATAATATATCTTCATAATCTATCTTTCCTTCTTATGTCATAGGTCCAATAAGACACTACCATCTTCACACTACCATCAAACATACCTAGTAGACAACCTGGGCATCATCTTCTCTGGAGACTGCTCTAGATTCCTGTCATCTCATTCTGAGTTGCTATAGCTGGGGCTTTCCACTTGCACCCTGACCCTCCTAGAGCTACTGAGAAGATTCTTGCATCCTACCACTCCTCTGCTTCAACCTTTCCAAGGACTCCCTAGATCTTCTGGAGTTCCCGAGTGCTTACAGGATGGTCATCTTCCACGGGAGTAGAAAGAAGAGACCAGAGAAGAATATGAAAGTTGGTTGTATTTTGACATATTTTAGTTACTGTGTTCTTTCTTTTTCATATTCCAAGATTCTCCTTTGTTTTCTTTGTTGGCTTTGAACTTTCAGATTTCAGCCTCCAGAGTAGTTAGGATTACAGGTGTGAGCTACTAGGTCTATTACTCCTTATTGAGCTCTAGAGTCCTGTATTTCTCTATTTACCTTATATGCTTTGTTTTATGCAGAATTTAGACCTGATGTGTCAGTACATCACATTTAATCTTGATACTTAGAAAAGCAGAAGCGAGGTTGCCAGGCACCGGTGGGCTCATGCCTGTAATCCTAGTTACTCAGGAGGCTGAGCTCTGAGGATTGCGGTTCAAAGCCAGCCTGGGCAGGAAAGGCCATATGAGACTCATCTCCAATAAGCTACCAGAAAATGGGAAGTGGCGCTGTGGCTCAATTGGTAAGAGTGCTAGCCTTGAGCTGAAATGCTTGGCCTAGAGTTCAAGCCCCACGACCAACAAAACAACAAAAAAAGATAGAAAAGAAAAGCAGAAGCCTGGTGCTCTTAACTCACATTTGTAATCCTAGCTACTCAGGAAGCTGAGATCTGAGTACTTGGTTTAAAGCCAAGCTGAGCAGGAAAGTCCATAAGAATCTTATCTCCAATTACCCACCAGAAAACCGGAAGTGGCTCAAAGGGGTAGAGGGATAGTCTTGAGCAAAAGAGCTCAGGGACAGCATCTAGGCCCTGAGTTCAAGCTTTATGAACAACAACAACAACAAAAGAAAAGCAAACAGAAGCCAGTGCCGATGGCTCACATCTGTAATCCTAGCTAGCTACTCAGGAAGCTGAGATCTGAGGATAACGGTTCAAAGCCAGCTCAATCAGGATAAGTTTGCGAGACTCTTATCTCCAATAAACTACTCAGAAAAAGCTGGGTGTGGTGGTGTGGCTCAAATGGTAGAGCACTAGCTTTGCGCACAGAGAGGCTCAGGATGGAGCCCAGGCCCAGAGTTCAAGCCCCAGGACCTGCAAAAATAAATAAATAAAAGAAAAGCACAGAAAGCACGATTAAAGATTGAGCTATTTCTTTTTACATTCTCTCCATTCCCTACTCTACTCCTCTCTTTCCCCCCTCCCCCCGCCCCATAAGTCTATTTTTGGGAGGTACAATACTGGAGTTTGAACTCAGGGTCTTAAACTTGGCAGACTTCAGACTTCATGTCTTTTTAAATTTCTCATTTGCAAAAATGTAAGGTATAATTTTGAGTGCTACCTATTTTGTTTTTTTGTTGTAAAGACGCAGCAAATGAGCAGCAGATAAGTTAGAGAATCTGCCCAGCAAGCACAAGGCTCTGAGTTAAAACCCTACTATCAAAAGATATTAAAAAATAGTGAATGTTCATCAATTATTTAGTAAAATATCAATGCAAGATTTTTGTGATAAAACACAATAGAAATAAACATATATACTAATATTAATGGTTATTTTAGATACTTACTTTGGAATATTCAATGTTAATGAAAAACTTTATTCATTCTCCCAGAATGAATTCAGGTTTTCTGGTGTTCACTAAGTGTGTAGAAAAGCAGACACTTGATTTTCTTTTCTTTCTTTCTTTCTTTTTTGTTTTTTTGCCAGTCAGGGCCTGGACACTGTCCCTGAGCTTCTTTTGTTCAAGGCTAGCACTCTACCACTTAAGCCACAGCGCCACTTCCAGCCTTTTCTGTTTATGTGGTACTAAGGAATTGAACCTAGGGCTTCATGAATGAAAGGCAAGTACTCTCTACAAAGCCACATTCTAGCCTGACTCTTGATTTTCTAACCAAAGACAAAATGTATTTCTTCTTATCAGGCAGTCCTTGTGGCCATTCTCCAAAGCCTTCAGTGTACTTTGAAGTTTGTGTCATGTAGCAGCACAAAACTGAAGCAGTTGAATACAGTGGAATGCAAATAGATAACTCTCCTAATAGTAAGTTCAGAAAACAACTGTTTTCAATTTGTTGTTTTTGCATTCAAGTTGCAAGTAATTCTCAACAAGTAAGAGAATGGAACTTTTTAATATCTTACTTTACCACATTCTCATTTTATTTTAAAAGGAAAAAACCCCTGCAATTTTGGCTCTAACACCCACTTTCCACTGTTATTCTCCAAAAACTTGAAATGTTGGATAAAATACATTGATTTGATCATTGGGTAATTCTAGAGTTCCATGGAATATAAATTGAAAACCACTGACTGGCTGACCTCTTCCTCTTTCTTTCCCCTCTCCCTCTAAGGTGTTAGCTTTTTAACTTCTCTTACCTTTTAGGAAATGAAGTAGGATTATGCTATTGGTATAGACCAAGGTTTAAATGTCTTAGGGTCATCTCTTGGGATCTAAGGAAGAAAGCAAATCAAACACTTAACATGTATTCCAGGAAAATTATATTGAACCTTTAGAGTTTTTGAAAAATTCCCTGTGGAATGAGATTGTGTCCTTCCTTTTTTTTTGGCCGGTCATGGGGCTTGAACTCTTGGCCTGGGCGCTATTCCTGAGCTCTTCAGCTCAAGGCTAGCACTCTATCATTTGAGCCACAGCACCACTTCTGATTTCTGGTGTTTTATTGGAGATAAGAGTCTCATGGACTTTCCTGCCTGGGCTGGCTTTGAACCACAATTCTCAGGTATCGGCCTCCTGAGTAAGAAGGACTACAGGCATGAGCCACCAGCACCCGGCTTTGTCTTTCTTTTAAAATGAGATTTTCTTTTTCTTTTTGCCAGTACCAGAGGCCCTAAGTTTAAACTTTGGGTCTCATGTCAACTTACTTGCTCACCTGGCATTTTACCACGTGAGCCACGCCTCTAGCCCAGGTTTTGATGGTTATTTTAGAGATAAGTATTAGTGAACTTTTCTGCCCCAGGTGGCTTCAATCTGTGATTCTCTGGAGCTCAGCATCTTGAGTAGCTAGGAATATAGGTGTGAGCCACTGGTGCCTGGCTTCAAATGATAACTCTTAAAAGACAGTAGGCTAGCGGCTGGGAGGGTGGCTCAGTGGTAGAGTGCTTGCCTTGCATGCATGAGGCCCTGGGTTCGATTCCTCAGCACCACATAAGCAAAAAGAAAAAAAGCCGGAAGTGGCACTGTGGCTCAAGTGGTAGAGCTCTAGCCTTGAGCTGAAGAGCTGAGGAACAGTGCCCAGGCCCAGAGTTCAGGCCCCATGACTGGACCCCCCCCCCCAAAAAAAAACAGTAGGCTAAAATAAAAATAGAAAGAGACAAACAAACAACCAGCTGCATGTGTGGTACACAACTGTAATCATAGCACTCCAGAAAGTAAGCCAAGAGGATCATGAGTTTGAAGCCAGTCTGGGCTACAAAGCAAGCTCTGTCTCAAAACTAAGCCAAACAAAACCAAACCCTAACCAAAATAACAGTAGATTGGTGTGATTTCTGCTACGATTAATGTTGCTAAGTAAGAGGCAGGCATTCTGAGGAGGACTGACATGAGTACTGAGGTCCACTTCTGTGTTGTACCTCAGAGAAGCCATTTACCTGAGACATGTTCCTGCTTGGTCTAAGGTCCTACCAATTATCTGGCTGGAATTTGAACTGAACACAGGGGAGACTATGTTTTTATGCATTGTGGGGCACGAACCACAGGAAACAAAATACACTCTTGTAGGACTAATAGTGGGGCTCCCCATTTTAGAGAAATCCTAAGCTGTGTATAGGACGGGAATCAAGCATTCCTCATGCGGAACTAGTATTTTTGGAGTGAGCCAGCTGATCTGTATATGAAAATCAGAGTCTACTTCCTGAAGAATGTGATATGCTCACATGCCTTTTTTCCACCACCTGAGAGGAGGGGCTCTCTTTAGAGCACTAATCAGGTGGCACCCCTAGTGCTGCCAACTCTCACTGAATTTGGACATCTAGAACCACAAGAGAAGCAGGGGGAAAAAGGGATGTGGAGATGGGCAGAGCAAATGCTGTAAAGGCAGGAGAGTAGGCGAATGGAGACAGTGTTAGGGTTGACGGGATGATGAAGGCCTTCAGCAATTAGGCCAGACTAGAGACTAGCAGGAATAAGCCAGGTCCAGCCAGCTGGAATGGGCGAATCGAGCAATGAAAGGACTTTCTCCATTCTTACTAACAGGAGTCCTCAGCTGGACTTTGCAGAGTCCCAGATGGTGGCTGAGAGGATTCCCTATGAGTCAGCATTGGTAGAAGGCTGCTGAACTCCTGGGAGACAAAACCTGTTTGCAAACTTGTTTTTAAACCCAATTGTTTTAACTTCCAAGAGATAGAAACGATTTTCTCATTGGCTTTCCATGGCTGTCTACTATGGCAGCCCCTGTATGCCACATTTTCCTTTCTTCTGTTGTTGCATCTTCAAGTTCCATATATACTACATCTGTAGTTCTTCAATAAGTTTGTCTGTTGGTGAGAACAAGGCAAGAGAGTTTTTTGTTTATATTTGTCCTACTGTCAGGTAGTCTGAGGCAGCAATTACTACTCATTTTTAAGGCTAGGAAATCCTTCATGCCCTGAATCTCTTAGAATATGTCTATGCCTATATCTGTATCTATATCTATAACTATATCATTAAGGGGCAACACTCCTACTTTGGATGTGCTAATTCTATTTCTTTTTGTATATCTTTAAGGGAAATTGTCTGTTTTTTTTCCTTTGTGAGTTATACATGATTGCACAAAGTACATTTTCCAGGAAATACATTTTCACTGGCACAAGTAGCTCATGCCTGAGTAGCTCCTAGCTACTCAGGAGGCTGAAATCTGAGGATCATGGTTCAAAGCCAGTTGGGGCAGGAAAGTCCATGAGACTCTTGTCTCCAATTAACCACCAGAAAACTGGAATTAGTGCTGTAGCTCAAAGTTATAGGGCACTAACCTTGAGCAAAAAGAGCTCAGGGACCGCATCCAGGACCTGAGTTCAACCCCCATGATTGAAAGAGAAACGTATTTTTTTCTCTCTCACCACCAGAATAGGAAATGACATAGCAATGATTTGTTGGGCTTAAACCAGAAATCTTCTCCAGCAACACTGTTTCCCTAGAAATTACTCCATGAGAGAAGAGGACCTGTTTATAAAAATACCAGTCAAGCTAGGTGCCAAGGCTGAGATGTGAAGATCTTGGTTCAAGTCCAGTCCAGGCAGGAAAGTCTTGAGACTTTCCAATTAACCACCAAAAATCTGGAATGGAACTGTAGCTCAAATGGTAGATCACTCTCCTTGAGCAAAAACGTTCATGGACAGAACCCAGGTCCTGAGTTCAAGTCCCAGGACTGGCACCGAAAACCCTCAAAACCCCAAAACAAAAATAACCAGTCAACAACTCAGACATCAGATCAACCAAATTCAAATGTATAAATAAATAATATATAATAATACAATGTATAATAACTTCTTGTTCAAATAGATTTTTTATAATGAAATTCTCTATGCTTTTTCACCAACCCTTGCTTTCTGTGGAAGTCAATTTACCCATAAAATGAGCCTTTTAGTTATGAGTTTGTTATTTGTTCTGCCCTCAGCAGGTCAGCTTGACTTAATGTGGAAATACTTTTCCAGCTTTGTGGGAGAGGCATGTTTTCAAGAAAGTCATTAAGAGTTATAGTGATTTAGGAAAAATATTAACTCTTATATTGACAGAGTGACTCAACTTATGTAGTATTTTTACATGTATTATTTTAATTCCAAGGGAAAAGTACTGAGAGTTTTACCATCATTTAAGAACTAGATCTACAGCTGGTGGTATGGCTCAAGTAGTAGAATGCCCAGAGAAAGATACATGTATATATATATATATATATATATATATATATATATATATACACACATATACATACATATATCTGTATATATATATATTCAACATAATATAACATAATATATAATGTTATAAAGTAACATAATATATAATGTACAACATATACTATCTAATGCAATAATATAATATATAAAGTACATATAATAACTAAACATAGTTAAACACATAATATTAAAATATAATAATGAATAAATAATATATATGTACAAAAGCTCAGAATCCCTTTATATTTATGAGAGAATTTTGAGCTTTCCAAGGCTCATGTTCTGTTACAGAACTCTCCCTCATAGCTCATGGGTTTTGTTGTTTTGTTTTGTTTTGCTTTGCTTTGTGCCAGTACCAGCCTTTCCCTGACCAGTCTGCCCTCAATTCTCACATTTTAGCCTCCCAAGTAGCTAAGATTAGGTAGGCATGAGCCACTGGTGCCTGGTCAAAATTATATTTTGATAACAGAATTCAAAGGTAGAATACAGAGTCAGTACCTGTGTGTTTCTGATTAAGATACAATATATATGCATATGAAAAACTGGTAAGGAACAACAAGAAAGAATAATGAGAAAGCAAAACAGGCTCTGTTAGGAGTAGGCAGCAGGGAGAGGTGGGGAGGTTGAATGAAGACGGATAAGGAGGGTGAATATGTTCAAAGTACTTTATATGAATATATGGGAATAAAATAAGACATTTGTTGAAGCTTTTTTTCTTTTTTTAAATTGAGATTAGGTGATTACATAACTTTCACAGTATTGTGGAATAGTGATACTTAGTTAAAGTCACAACCACATTTTAACCTTGACAAGGCAAATTGTCATGATCATGGTCTATAAAGTTTGTGAATTCTATGAGCTTTCACAATACAACTATTTCTTCCACATCAGGTGATATTTACATTAATTTGTGGAAATTTTAAGAAGGGAGGAAGAGGGAGATGTGGGAGAGTGACGAGGGCTGAGTCTAATCATTTTATAATTTTTTAACACATATAGAAATGTTACAATGAAGCCCCCTACTTCATGTACAACAAATATATGTTAACAAGAATATTAATTTTTTAAAAAAGAAAGCATTAACTGGGCACCAGTGGCTCATGCCTGTAATCCTAGCTACTCAGGAGGCGGAGATCTGAGGACTGTGGTTCATAGCTAGTCCAGGTAGAAAAGTCCCTATGAAACTTTTATCTCCAATTAACTACTCTAAAACTGGCAGTGGTACTGTGACTCAAGTGGTAGAGTTCTAGCCTTAACCACAAAGAGGCTCAAGGATAGTGCCCAGACCCTACGTTCAGACCCCACAATCGACCAAAAAAAAGTCAGCATTGAATGCCAGTGTGTATAACATTCTCTTTGGCCTCATCCCCACCCCATGCAGGGGAAGGAACCTAGGATTACATATCCTAAGCAAACATTGTACCATAGAGCTGCATCCTCAGCTCTGAATCATCGTATATTTCAATTAAAAGACTGTCATTATCTCAAAATATTAAAAAAAAACAGTTCTGATATTGGCTCAGATTGACTCCAAGATGCTTTAAAAAGATGGGGTTGTGTAAGCAGCCAGACAACAGGAGCTTCAGGAGGACTGTCATGGTTCCAGACAGGCTGGAATTGTACCTTGGAAAGACCAGATTAGCCAAACACTTAGCTTTTATAGTAATTGTTCGTCTTTTTCCCCTGTGCTCTGGACACTCCTTGAGAAAACAGACTAGTGAGTCTTATTCATCATGGTTCTCTTGGTTCTTTATACAGAAAGGAAGGTATCAAATTGACCTGTGGTTTGGTTAAAATAGGAAATGTGAACAAGGGCTAACCAGCTGTGGAAAAGAAGATAGTTTCAAGTAGAGGGAAGAGTAAGACAGAAGCCCTGTAGTAGGAACAAGCAACTCTGTCCTAGATACACAAAGAGAAAGAGCCAACCATGGCCTGGGTAGAGTCATGTGAGGTAACAGGTGTGTTGGTTGGGCCATGTGGAACTTTGATTTGTAGACTTACAGGGCAAGTAAAGCTGTTTCACTTAACCTAAGAGCAACGTAAAGCTTTTCGTCTTTGTGCGTATTAGAGGGGCATGATCAGTTTTGTCACCCCACAAACTGCTGGCTGCAGGGCCTTGGGAGCTAAGTGAGAAAGTGGCTATGACTCAGCGAAGGGAGATGAGAGTTTATCTTAGGGTCACCAGAAGGTAACTCCACAAAATCAGGGATCTCTGTTTCATTTGCTACTGTTTTTCCCATTTTTCCAACATTTTGCCATGGAACACATGGCAGACATGGTGAAAGAATGAATAACAGGGTGTTTAATAATGGAAAGATTGATTGTTGAAAGAAATATTAAGAAGGAATGATTCCCTGACTTCCTAACTTCCCTCCATCCTTTCTTCCTTCCCTCCCTTCCTTCTTTCTTCTCTTCCACCTTTCCTCCCCTCCTCCCTTCTATTTCCCTTCTTCCCTCCTTCCTTTCCTCTTCCTCTTATTGTGCTGGGGATCAAACCCAAGGCCTGAGCATGCTTAGACAAATGTTGAACCACTGAGCTATACTCTTACCTCTTCTTGTTTATGTGTATATATACACTCACCTACCACTTATACACTTTTTTTTGATGTAGAGTCCCAACATACAGCCTGGATTGATGCTGAACTCATAGGATTATAGATGGATGCCACCACACCCAGTGCTACATGTTTTTGTATGGATGGAGGAATATTGGCATTTCCTCAATAAGAAATAGCAGCTTCTATGTATGGTGTGTTTCTAATTTTCTTTGTTAAACAGAGTCTGGGCTTCCTCCTCTCCACTTTCTTTGGAAGACCCCATTCAAGGATGGCTTCTGGTTGTTTTTCTCTGCTTATAAACAGTGAGAGTGTCTAGAGGCCAGAATAAAGCAATTCTTGGATCACTGAAGTCTTGTCAAGAATTTGAAGAGGCTTCTATTCTCCCTCTTTCATATATATGTGAGGTCAGCGGGATGTAAGGCTAAGAAATGTTACAGGTTAGGGCAAGTAAAGGACCACTGGTCTAAGCAGCCTTACTAACAAGGGACTTATTATTAGCAGGTCAAGTCTGCCTTGCTGCTGCCCTCCAAATGTATTCTAGTGGCTATAAAAGTTAAGAATTGATAGGATGGATAAATTTGAATAGATGTTTTCTTTTTGGAATGATGCTCTATGGAAAAAATAACTCTCAAGGTTTGCTGTGAATGAAGACTGCAAGAGTCTCTTCAAGGATACAGCTCAGGGGCTGGGAAGGTGGCTCAGTGGTAGAGTGCTTGCCTTGCATGCCTGAGGCCCTGGGTTTGATTCCTCAGCACCTCATAAGTAAAAATAAAAAAGCCGGAAGTGGCACTGTGGCTCAAGTGGTAGAGCTGAAGAGCTGAGGGACAGCACCCAGACCCAGAGTTCAGGCCCCACGACCAGATCCAAAAAAAAAAAAAAAAAAAACGATACGGCTCAAATATTTTCCAGAACTGTGTCAAGGATATGCTAATTCTGTAAAAGGAGTATGCAAGTAAGATATATTATGCTTATATATGAATTAAAACATTTTAAAGTAGATGTACACACACATGCCACCTCCAAGATAGCTATATAGTTGGGTGGAATTATGGCAGATTTTAACTTTCATCTTATTTTCAAAATTTTCCATAATAAATGTGCTATTATTATTATTATTATTATTATTGGCAGTCCTAGGTCTTGAACTCAAGGCCTAACCACTGTCCATTGAGCTTTTTTTTTCTTCTTAATACTAGCACTCTATTACTTGAACTACAGCTCCATTTCTGGCTTTTTGTTTAATTTGGAGGTAAGAGTCTCATAGACTCAGTAGGATTACTGTGAGTGCCTAGATATGTGTTACTTTTATAAAGACAGAATTCCACATGGCATTAAAGTTTAAAAATATTAACTATGGATTATAAAATGAGGTCATACTTAGAAACCATGTGTCCATTTATGAGTATTTAGAAAATGTGGTTACTCTCCCATTGATTCCAAGTATTTGCCTGGTGGTGTGCAAATCTGTGTTCAGTGAAAGCTGATCAGCACCGGAAGCATTGGCTGGAAGACTTGCAGGGAAATTGCTGAATGACTGGTGTAACAAGAGTACAAGCAATGTTGCCGAGTTATATTTGCAGAGCGAAAAGACTAGATAATGGGGAAGGAAATGAGTATTATGATACTTCCCTTTCAGCAAAATTCCTATGTTATTCTTTTGCCCTCTGGCTTGCTGTTTGGAGGAACTTCGTAAGCATTTGGGCTTCTTTTAATAAAAATTGGAAAACACACGTTTCCTTTGGAGGATAGAGAATGGATTCTCTTCTGTCTGAGAGGCAATGTAATGTATTAGAGTGGAGCGCAACAGCCTGGATTGGAATTTTAGCTTATCTGCTAGCTATGTGATCTTATTGCACTTTAGTTTCCCTAGTATTAAAAATTAGTAATTATCTGATAGGGTTGTAGTAATGACCAGCTCCCCATTCTCCTATTTCTGTCTTTCTAGTTCTGGGATTACAGGTGTATACCACCTTGCCTGGTTTGTCTATTAATTTTTAAGAGATTATTTTCTTTTAAGTCATTTTGTGCAAAGGTCAATGTCTTCTAATAACACTAGGTTTCCCAAGTGCTCTACCACTAAGCCACCTTCCCAGCCCCATGTCTATTAATTTTTAAAGCGTGAATAAATTATTTTATTTTAGGGTAGCTGAGATGGTTAAATTAAATGGCATATGAGGAAATGTTTTTTAAAAAGTTGTAACTACTACATCTATACAAGGTGTAGTTATGAGGTTTTATCCCTTTAAAACTTGATTAGCCTAATTGATTAGTCTAATTCTATACTTAGATACAGATTAAATCATAAACTTACCCAAGAGATCTGAGAAGCAGGAAAGAGAAAAGTCACCTTGTAGGGAAATAGTAATTCCATACCATTTCTGTGAACCAGTCTGCACAGGCCATTCGAACCCACTCTGGTGTTGCTGGGCTCTTGACTGTGAAGTCTTCAGTTATGTCTCTTTGTCTGCGGGCCGCAGCTACAGCATCAGCAATGGCAAAGAACACAGATGACCCCAGGAACATCCCAGACTCTCCAAGGCCCTACAAGAAAGTAGGTTTGTTCTAGCAGTTTCTACATAGACTGTAATCTACTAAACGACCATTGTATCCTCAACTCCTGGCATATTTGGTTCTCAATTACTATTTGGTGATTGCATAAAGTTAGGGTACTCTTAATAATCCAATATCTAGAAGTGGAGCTGTGGCTCAAGTAGTAGAGTGCCAGTTATGAGCAAATGACACTGAGTTTAAACCACAATGACAGACAGTCAGACAGACAGACAGACAGACAGACAGACAGACACACACACACACACACAAACTTCACTTGGCAGGTTTTTGAGTGATAATAAATCCCAGCATCATCTGAACTTCCCAGATCTTCAGTCTTGTATGGGTTACATTTTTTCTATGGGAAACGTTTTGTGTGTGCATGTGTGTGTGTGCACCTACATGTACACACATGTATATTTGTGTCTTTGTGTAGTAATGCGAGGGTAGCCTGCTCAGTAAAGGACATTCAGTAGATTGGACTAAGCCAAGCTTCTTTTTTTTGGGGGGGGCGGGCGGGGGTGGGGGTCCGGTCGTGGGGCCTGAACCTGGGCCTGGGCGCTGTCCCTCAGCAATTCAGCTCAAGGCTAGCACTCTACCACTTGAGCCACAGCGCCACTTCCGGCTTTTTTCTTTTTGCTTATGTGGTGCTGAGGAATCGAACCCAGGGCCTCAGGCATGCAAGGCAAGTGCTCTACCACTGAGCCACCTTCCCAGCCCCAAGCCAACCTTATAAGAAGAGAAAAATGACTTACTCAGAATCTAAAAGGGTATTCTAGAGGGAAAAGGTTGGACTTAAGCAGTTTGTAAGCCTCATATGCAAGCAACAGGCAGACAATACAAGTGAGTGATGTGCATAGAGGAGGACAATGAGGAGAGCAGGGCTCAGGCGGCATAGAGGTTGCCCCTCCCCATGTCAATCTAGAGAGGGCGGTTGTTCTTTCATCTAGCCAACTGTTGTCTTCCAAGAATGCAACCAACATCAGCAGATCACCCTTTTTTTACAAAACATTTTAGGTTTTCATATTTCAATGTAAAAATCTCTATTTTTGTTTTGTTTTCTCCTGATTTGAAAAACAAAACCCATGTATGTCATAGCTACATCTTCAAGCAAGATTTTGCCATTGGGGCACCAATTTGTAACCCTTGAACCAAATCTGGCTCCAGTCCATAATCCCTGGGTGTTCTGGTAGGTGGGGTTACCTCTCTGAGCCTCTATTCCTCTGCAGTGGAATGTAGGCAATGGCAATTAAAGGCTGTTAGGATCAGGAAGTACAGAGCACTTAGCAGTGTGCCTGATACCTAGAAGGGCTCCATTACACAGTACATTCTATGGGATGATCCGCCAACCACATGGTTCTGAGGATCCTCTGTGAGTGGCTAGCCACAAACACAGAAACTCAAGTGTCTTGGCTGCCCTGTAACTCCTGGTGGCCTGAAAGTGGCTCTGTCTGGGGCTCTGGGCTGTCTTTTGCTCCTTCCTTCCAACCTGAGGGATTTTTGAGTCCAACCAGAATCACCTTGTTGATTGTCTTCCCTTTCAGAGTTACACTGGCTTCATTGCCATATACCCTGGTGAAGTTCCAGTTTGAAAATAATGAAAATTCCTTCAGATGAATGTGTCTTCCTCTTCTTCTTCTTCCTCCTCCTCCTGCTTCTGATCCAGCAGTTTACTCTTAGCAAGAAAAAGTACTCAGCTTCTCAAATTTAGATGAAGATAATATTCTTTCTCTTTTTTTTGGGTCCGGTCAGGGGGCCTGAACTCTGGGCCTGGGTGCTGTCCCTCAGCTCTTCGGCTCAAGGCTAGTGCTCTACCACTTGAGCCATAGCGCCACTTCCGGCTTTTTTCTTTTTGCTTATGTGGTGCTGAGGAATCGAACCCAGGGCCTCATGCATGCAAGGCAAGCACTCTACCACTGAGCCACCTTCCCAGCCCCTAGATGAAGATAATATTCTGAGGATACTGTCTTAACCAATGTAAATTAAACAATGTTGACATTTAATTTGCAATTTCATTACGTTGGCATATTAAGGGTTGGCTGGAGTCTGTTTCCTGACACTACTCACATTTGGGACCAGATAGTTCTCTGTTGTTGTAGGGAGTGGCCTTGCATGTTGAAGGTGGTTAAACTGTATCCCTGACCTCTGCCTACTAGTAGTAAAAATTTTTTAACTCTTAATATTGCCAAATATTCTGGCACATTGCCAAACAACTTACCCACATCCCAGGTAGAGATCTACTGTTCTAGATCTGTTTCTTTTTTTCTCTTTTAAAAAAACCTTCCTGTAACATAGGTCCTATGGTTTCCCTTATTTGCAATGTCTAGTATATGTCTGAGTCAAGCAGAAAAGGTCAGATAAGTTGATGTTAGGGAAATGAACCGTAAGATATGTATTCAAATGTTTTTTTTTCTTTCATGCGATTGTTTCTAACACATTTATAAGATTATTTCTTTGTTGCTTTGTATGCCCCTCCCCCATGGTATAACCCTTGCTTTCAATGTATTTGATGTCGGTATAATTTGTGGAGGGAAGGGAAAAACAAATTGTTGAAATAGGGATACAGGTGGACCCATTGCAACAATGGGATGTACAAATCGTTATGTCAAAAACGAACTTTACAACTTTGTGTGGGGGGGGAGGTTTGGGTGGAGGGGCAGGAGGAGTATGGGAAGGGATGAGAAAGGGAAACAAAGGAGGAGGCTACAATGCTTGATAAGAAATGTACTCATTATCTTGTCCATGTAATTGTAACCCCTCTGTAAGTATTTTCACAATTAAAAAAAAAGAAGAAAAACAACAACAACAACAACAACAACAATCTTCTTGTTTCTATCTCCTGGAGTTCATTTTGATAAATACAGTATTATTTTATATGTTCAGAAGTATACAGGCATTGAGTCTTTGTATTCCTCTCCTAAGAATATCCTCATAGATCTGTTTCTTGGTATGGCTGAGTACGCTGAGACCCTCAAAGGGGCTCAGTAGGATGATGATGTTGGGGCAGGAGCTTCTGTCAATACTGCCAAGGCTTTCTGAGATTTTAGTAGTATGGTCTTCAATCCCACTTAATTGTGTGTGTGTGTGTGTGTGTGTGATGTGTGTGCACATGAGCCAGTCCTGTGGCTTGAGGTCTCATATTCTCACTTAGCTTTTCCACCCAGCCTGTTGCTGATTACTTAGAGATAGGAGTCTCATTGATTTGTCTGCCTGGGCTAGCTTAAAACCATGATACTCCTCTGATCACAGCCTCCTGAGTTGCTAAGACCACAGGCATAAGCCACTGATACTTGAGTAATGTCATATTCTTAAAGTTCGTGAAGTTTTTGATGAATATTAGACTTTTCAGTGAGAGATAATATTAATAAAATCTTCTTTTTGTCCGTTGTGGGGCTTGAACTCAGGGTCTGGGTGCTGTCCCTGAGCTTTTTTGCTCAAGGCTAGCACTCTATCACTTTGAGCCACAGCTCGACTTCCAGTTTTTGAGTGGCTAATTTGAGATCAGAGACTCATGGGACTTTTCTGCTGGGGTTGGCTTTGAACTGTAATCCTCAGATCTCAGCCTCCTAAGTAGCTAGCATTACAGCATGAGCCACTGGTGCTTGGCTTCATAAAATCTTTGATCCATGATTGCCATTGGATGGGTCATTTATCTTTAGTGAATCTTAGTGTTTCCTAGGTGATTTGTCTCCAAGTGTTTTGGTATGAATAATCACTTACATCTATCTATCTATCTATCTATCTATCTATCTATCTATCTATCTATCTATCTATCTATCTATCTATCTATCTATCTATCTGGCTAGTCCTGGGGCTTGAACTCAGGGCCTGGACTGTCACTGACCTTTATTGCTTAAGGTTAGCTCTCTACCATTTGAGCCACAGCTCCATTTGCATCTTTTTGCTGGCTAATTGAATATAAGAGTCTCATGGGTTTTCCTTCCCTGAGCTGTCTTTGAACTGAAACTCTCTCGTCTCAGCTTCCAGAGTTGAAAGGATTATGGGCAAGAGCCACTGAAGCTGGGTTTACTTTTTTTTTTTTTTTGGTTGTGGGGCTTGCATTCAGGGCCTGGGGCTGTCCGTAAGCGCTTTAGCTCAAGGCCAGCACTTGACCACTTAAGCCGCAGAGCCACTTTACAGTTTTCTAGTGGTTAGTTGGAGGTAAGAGTCTCACGGACTTTCCTGCCTAGGCTGGCTTTGAATGGTGATCCTCAGATCTCAGCCTCCTGAGCAGCTAGGATTATAGGAGTGAGCCAGCAGTGCCTGGCCAGGTTTACTTTTATTTTGTTCTTGGACTTCCACTATCCATGCTACCCATTCTGTGATATTGTACATAGTGGCAGGTTGGTACTTACCTTGGATGAATAAATGGTTAGTGGAGTTTGAGATGATGGCAACAAGGAGACGTTGAACTGCCCAGGGACATCAGTGATGGTTGGAATTTTATACTCATCTGGGCTCCTAGTGTAGAGGACACCCTCTGGGGAATATTGCAGCTCTTCAGTGGTATAAAGGCCCATGCCCTGAATAAATGAACCTTCTATCTGAAAAGGGATAAGTGCGAGCTTTTGTGACATTATATTCTTTTAAGAAGAACTTTACCTATCCTGCAACTACTGTTAAGAAGGGCATCCACTCAGTGGACCAGCACCTACCTGCCCAATGTCAATAGCCGGATTTAGGCTGCAACATGCATCCATGACGATGTCTGTTCTGATTTTCTGCCCAAAATAAAAATAACATCCCCATAAAAACTTGACTCAATAAATACTCTATTAAGGTTTATTCAAAGACTCTCTAGATATTCTAGAACTCCTGCTTGATGGTTTAACACTGCACAGAGCACTAGCAACATTAGAACTGGTAAAACATCTGCTAAACTCTTCAAATTGAGTGTCACGAATATCAGTGACCCTGGACCATCTTTGGAATTCACGGTTTTGATTCCTGAAAGGGATATTCTTTCCTTCCTTCCTTCCTTTTTGTTGGTCATGGGGCTTGAACTCAAGGCTAGCACTATATCACTTGAGCCACAGTGCCACTTCTGGCTTTTTCTGTTTATGTGGTGCTGAAGGATCAAACCCAGGGCCTCATGCATGCAAGGCAAGCGCTCTAACACTGAGCCACCTTCTTAGCCTGCGGTCTTGATTCCTATTAAGTGACTTCAAAGTCCAGAACATATGGGTGTGTGTGTGTGAGTCACCTGGAAAATAATTGAGCCTTGTTGTGCCTCCAATTCTCAACCTAGCTTTCTTCTTCTAATTTATGAGCTCATTTGGTCCTCAGGACAGGCTAATACAGATAAACTTGTTGCCATTTTATTGAGGAAATCCAATGGCCAGAGTGGCATGTAAGAGATTGGGGATTTTTAAGATCTTGGGAAGTATCCAGGGCCAATGTAGAGATCAACTTTGACTTTACTAATCTATTTCCTTCTCAACACCATAACCTGGCATTTCTGTGTTGGCACAGGGTGTGTGCATTTAGGTTGTTTGAAAGCAAGAAAGCTTCTACCGACTGTCATTTTGCCTTCTTTCTGCCCCAGTTCTGCAGGGTTTATTCTGGTTTAAACTCAGTATTTGGGCTCATTGTTTCTAGTAGCCTTTTAGATTTGGCAATTCCCTTTGGAAATTCCCTTTGCCTCAGGCACTGAGACCAGCTTGGATAAGAAAGGAGATTATGCCAGTGTGGTGGCTCACACCCATAATCCTCACCTATTCAGGAGGCTGAGATCCAAGGCTCATGGTTGGATACTAGCCAGGCAGGAAAGTCCATGAGACTATTATCTCTAATTTATCACAAGGAAACCAGAAGTGGCACTGTGGCTCAAAGTGGTAGAGCTCAGCCTTGAGCATCTAGGCCCTGAGTACAAATCCCACAACAACAACAAAAATAGGAGATTACTGACAGCTCTGAGTGAGTCTTGAATTTCCTTTTACCATGGAAACCTGCTATGTTTTGCTCCATGGATGCTGAACAGTGGAAAGATAGGAGAGCTGTACATTAACATTGAGTGATTTAGTTCTTGAAACCATAGTCAACAGCAATAAGCATGTCATCTACCTGGCCTCATTGAGCCATATTCAGTTTCTCTTTAATTAAAAGAAGTTTGCCTCTTCAAAGAATAAATTGTTTTTTAATTAAAGTCATACTGAAGTCATTGAACCTTTAAATATAAACCAAATTTTAACTTTTGTGGCACTACTGCAAATTCTGAAAAAACCCTTTCTCTTTGCTATTTGTTTCTTTAGGAATTTATTCCCAAGCCTTTAGGTACAATTGACAGATAAAATAAGAATGTCTCCAATGTTGTTTATTTGGGATTCAAATGGACACAGTTGGCCTGGGCTTTTGTTTGCTAAGTCTGGCAACAGAACTGGTGGAGGGCCTGCAAACAACTTCTTGTATGGAGAAGAGCCTTAAACTGGTTCTAAGTGTGCAGGGACACCAAAACCTTCAAGAGGGCTGGGACAGGGACTGCAGGATTGTCTTCTACCATATTATTCTGTACTATTATCTATGTGTGCTGTGGTATCACAAATATTAGAAAATAAAGTTCTAAAATAATTACATGAACAGGGGCTGGGAAGGTGGCTCAGTGGGTAGAGCACTTGCCTTGCATGCCTGAGGCCCTGGGTTCCATTCCTCAGCACCACATAAGTAAAAAGAAAAAAGCCGGAAGTGGCGCTGTAGCTCAAGTGGTAGAGCGTTAGCCTTGAGCTGAAGAGCTGAGGGACAGCGACCAGGCCCAGAGTTCAGGCCTCACGACTGGACCCCCCCCAAAAAAAAAAAATTACATGAACAATCTGCCATGAACTTGTCTCTTTAAATGATCTAATGTATCCTAAGGAGAAATCTCAATGAGGCATGAGGGCAATTGGTGTGCGTAGGTCCCTCTATTCACTATAACTGATAGGGAAGTTAACCAACATGGACAATAAAAAGCGATTTGATATGATTTGCATGATGGTATTTAAAGCCTTATACACAGATTGTTGTTACTTTGGGAACAAAGGGGCTAACAATAACATTAATTAATGTATGGAGTTTAAATGTGTCCTTGGTACATCTCATAACTTTGCTTACAGTTTAGTTTATGTTGGTTGTGATATATTATAGTTAAGACTTCTGTGATCTATGTTCCCAGATTGGTATCTGGGGTATATTCATGGATTCAGTTGTTACCTTTGAATTAAATGTGACTCTGACTTTGATAGTTGCTTTCTTGGATGCTCAGATAGCAAGCACAAAAAGTAACTTTTATTATTCCTCTCAAATCTCTTTATAGGTCAGAAGTGCCCTTGGGGTAACTGACCTTGGGGAAAGCACATGTTGTTGTGTGTGTTGAAACATTTGCTCAAGATTATTTGCTAAATGACCTCATCTCCTTTAGGGATGGAACTTTTTTTTTCAGGGTAAAACTTTGCAAAGTGATTTTGTCATCTAAAATAAAATAGAATGAAAAAATGTAATAAATTTAGACTATCAAGAGCAATTGTTTTTTGACCACTACATTGCTGGATCTCTGAAAATTTCTTGGAATTCTTCTTCTCCTTCTCCTTTTCCTCCTTCTCCTTCTCCTCTTTCTCCCTTCCTTCCTTCCTTCCTTCCTTTCTTC